TCTGGTTTAAAATTTATGAAGTGATATGCCATTTATTATTGATTAGGTCAAACATAAAGATAGAGATATAAGTTACATAATTATATATAAAACTTAAATTTATATTTAATTATGGATATACATATATTTATATTTATATAATTATATATAATTTATAATTAAAATTATTTTGTTGAATAGTAACTAAAAAGAAGATAAATACAAAAAAAAATCATAGATTTTACTAAACTGCAGAATTGTAGAAAAAAAATAAAAATTCATTTTAAAGTTGAGAGGTTTTCCTAAAAATCTTTGTAGTTATCAATGATACAGATATAAAGATCGTCTAAAAAATTAGTTTTTATAGCTTCATATAATTTTTATTTAAACATTACAAAGCGCGCGCTTCGTGCGCGCCATTTGTTATTTAATTAATTATTTATTGTTATATGTTTTTATATAAAATATTTGCATTACATACAGTATAACCTCATTACCAAGACCTCACACAAGTACTATTAACAATATTAATATTTGATAGTCATGCTTGCAACACGAAAGCGAAAGAACAATCAATCATAAAAAAGCATCAACAAATTGACTGAAGCTTTATACGGCCTTTTTACGAATGGAATCTATATATATATATATATATATATATATATATATATATATATATATATATAATTAGACTATTAATATATTCACAGTAATTAATTAAAATTTATGTAGAAATATTAAACATTTTCAAACATCGACAAATATCGAAAAAGTTTAAGTATAATTTATCTATTATATTGAAATGAAACGAGATACATATAATAATAGATTTATATAAGAACGACAACGGTCATTTGCGATACAATTACGAACGATTATTTTTATAATAATGATAATAATAAAAATAAAGATAATGATAATGATAAAGATAATATTTTTAATATTGAGCCCTTTTAAATTTTTGTTCTGGATTTCATATTTTCTAATACATACATATGTAGCGGCAGCTAGTTTATTTTGTAACAATTATTTATTGTAATACACATAAAATATCTATCTTTGATTTAAGTTGTGACGAGTTTATTAAAGAAAACAGTAAATACATTACATAACATTTTCATCAGAAAGTATTTAAAATGTAATGATTACAGCATTTAATGTCGAATCATCAGAAGAGTTATAGCGCTTCGTGCTAGATAGATATTATTCGTAATATTCAATATTTCGTTTTACACACATTATTGATGTCACAGCCTTGAGAATTGTTTATGCGCCGCAATTGATATACGTCACATGTGTCACATTACGAGCACGAATAGCGCGCCACGTGTCTACGAGCTCCACGCGTCTACTTACATTTACTGGCGTTTTTGTAGCAAGCAAGTAGCAGTACAACATGTCGTTCCGCGTTTCTTCCACATTTTTCTCACTGTTAAATGATCTCAAACATTGCTACATCATATGAATATAATAATAGTAAATACTTATCAACGATTGATTAACGATTTATAAACGTATCGAAGCAACGACGTTTTTAACAGTTTAAAGTACATACACATTTCGCGCAATTTATTCCTTTGATTTATATGACTTTTTGTGACATGGTAAGTCCTCCAATGTAGGTGCAGCCTTGACGTTGGCAGGGGAACTGAGTATTTCGTAAGGGGTTCGGTATCCCAAAGACGAAGAAATTAACAGCATTGCATCGTTATTAATAACATTAATATTAACGTTAGATAATATTATTATATAATGTTATTAATAATACGCAGCATTAATATAGCATAATCACGAGTCGTCCAATGACTCCTATGTGACATTGGACGCATTTCACGCATTAGTCGCATTATATGCATTTCACGCATTAGTCGTCGATTTTTTTTTTTAATCGACATTCCGCCGCTGATTTAAACGAGTGAACAAACTGTAGATTAATGAACGTATCGAAATGATAACTCTTTAACGAAATATATACATACATTATTTAACGTTTAGTTATTAAATGTGCTGTAGGGTGTAAGGTTAAATATTATTTGTAATATTGTTGAATATTCGTCATAGTCAGACCATTGGTCAAACCGGTCGTGAAGATTCGAGAGAATATATATGTATATTGTGATATATATATATATATATATATATATGTGTGTGTGTGTGTGTATGTGTGTATGTGTATCATTGTATTGTTGATGTGTTATTCTAAACACGTTATTTGCGACAAATATTATCACATGCCTCTGTAGTCGAAAAGATAAGATGCCTGCCCGGCAAGTAGGAGATCCAGGTTCTCGATTCCTGGCTGAGATGGTATTTTCTCGCAAAATAATTACGAGTTTTCACGACTGGTTCGTGGTCGGATCCCGCCGTGACGCACACCCTTCCTTCCTATTCGGCTTTGAGAAACGTTTACGCATCACGTGATGCGTTTCATTATGTACGTACGACGAGTAGCGTGTGTCGCGTTTACGAGTGATGATTCACTATCTGCTACCATTCACTCACCGGTATTCATAAGGACAGTCCGCAGTCGCGCGATGTTCCGTATTTCTTCGCATTTCTTTAAAGCCAATTTGATATTAACATTTCCGTTGGCTACCGGAACCAATTTCAGTATGCCTTCGGCCGGCGCAGAGAGTTAAATGCGAGCTGGGTCATACGGAGCGTCATCTCCAATCTTTTTCTAAAATTCAACTGATACATAAACATAAAAAGTATAAACACAAAAATAAATAAATAAACGTCGTAAAGTAAATTTACACGTAACGTTTTGCATTACGTGTGAAAAAAATCAAATTTATATTTAGACTGCTTTAATAAAGTATATTGAAAAAGTGTAAATATGTCGTTTTTATATTTTACGGATTACCAATTTTATTTGATAAGTTTAACGGTGTCGATCCACGTACCGACACTTAGACGAAAAGAGCAATGTCAGTTCCTAGGGACCGACGTCGGAATCAACATGTTAAATGTTGCTATCTTATGAAATAATATATCTCATGTAATAATAAATACTTACTAACTGACTGATGATTAATGAAACATAAACGTATCGAAACGACAACTCTATAACAAGATGTATATACATTTCACTTACGACTTATCTCTCTCTCTCTCTCTCTTTGAAATTCATAACTTTTTGCAAACGTTAACCTCTCCAAAGGATACAGCCTTGACAGCCTACATGACAGAGAGGCTTAGTATTTCGAGGGGTTCCATATTCTAAAGACGAAGAAATCAACAGTACCTATTGCATCGTTATTAGTGACATTAATATTACCGAGATAATACTAATGTTAGATAATACTAACATGTTATTAATAATGTATTAATACAGCATAGCCACGAGTCATTCAATGACTCTTATGTGGCAAAAATGCGTTGTACGCATTAATCGTCGATTTTTAATCGACATTCCGCCGCCGATTTTTAAGTGAATAAACGAACTGCAGCTAGTTAACTTAACTTACTGTTAGGAATGCCGTACAGGTGATCGGACTAAAAGATTTTTTCTCGCCCTACGAGGGCTCGTTTGACAAATATAGTTCGTGCCGGGAGCCGAGGGGTGCAGGGAACACGGGATCTCATTGAGACGTCAACTACGTTTTCATACCACGTGCGCCGCGGCACTGATGATACCGGTTGTGAATGTTCACGCACTCGTAATGTGCCGTGTTTCTCATAGTTGCAAATTGCATTAATTGCTCAACTGAGAATTAATGGGCTAATTGAGAACACGCTCTGTCTTCGACAAGTGGTTTGGTTTCAATCCGCAAGATTTCAATCGAGTGACTTGTTTTCATCGCTTCTCTTGATTTCTTCTTTCTTTTCTCTGACGCAGCATCGCCACGAGTCGCTCAAATGATTCTTACGTGGTGCATGCGATTTACGCATTGATTTACGCGGTTTTTTTATTGGTCTTTTGATTTTTTTCAGTCTTTAATAAGTCCTAACAAATCGCGTTTAATCTGACTTGAGCAAAACTTAATTTTTGCGTGGGTCGAGAGGCTGGATTCCAGTTTGCTCGATTGTCTAGATTGTTAGGCATCGATGATAGGTATCTTCTTTCTCATCACATCTATCTTTCTCGATAGCTCGGATGCGAGATCACGCGTATGGTCACGGCCTTATTGATTTGACCTAAACCGTTGGCTACGTGATGATTGAGTCAATTTTAGACGTATCTTTTAAGAAACAAGGAACGTCGGATTCAATTTAATCGATTCGTCTTCTTCCTCCTCGGTCTTAACTCTTGCTTGAAATAACGTGTGTTCTGAAAGCTCGCCGACTCGGATACTGACTGGACTGACGGAACTTTATATTTTCATGAGCAGTTAAACGTGGAGTGCCGTAAAGTATAGCGCGAAAGACTTTTATTTAAAATTAGTCCGCGCGCGATTATAATTATTCGCGAATATTTTTTGTAGGTATCTGGTGCTGCGAAGATATTCGACTTAACATCTGAGAGGAGGAGGAGACCTAGGAGAGGCATCGGGCGGAGCAACCTTGAGGTAAATATACATTTTTTTTGTTAACATTTTTTGTCAACACAAAATTAATAGTGCATAAAGAAGTATGTATGTGTACGCATATTTAGAAATTATTAGAAATTAATGTATGCCACAAACAAATGATAAAAAATAATATTTAAATATGCCGATTTACACCTAATCACGTATAATCTATCCGTCTATATTAATTAATAATGACTTTAACAAACAAAAAAATAATTTTTTTTTCTTTTGTGAATTCATACATATAAATTATATTTATGTTACGTCGTGATGACCACGATTCTTCTCTTTTGGGGAGTTATTAGAATTAGGTTAAGCGGATAAACAGATGTCAGGCCTGTTCTATTAAGGAACGCTGTTACGTCGTGACGATTGAACGATTCTTCTCTTCCGAGGATCAGTTATTAGAATTTGGCTAAGCGGATAATCCCCACATCACTATTTTAATCGCTGAAGAACGGCACGTGTACGGTTGTGTTTCCTCAGTATCATATATATATATATATATAGCGCCCTTAAGGGCATAGCGTGCAGTTAGTCAGTCAGTCCAGTTCACTCAGTGTACTACCTATATACATTCTGTTTTTCCACTGAACCTTCGTTGCGAGTCAAGTTAATTAAGTGCAAATGAGCAAGTCCTTCTGGCAACACCGCTTCCACGTGCATCACGTTCCGAAGCTTCTGCAACCAGATAACAGTAAGTTCTTAAACACAATTGTTCTCTAATAATAATTTTGGATCTCTCCTCCTTTGTATTCTCTTTATTTCTCCTTTACATCCTTTCTATCCTCTGCTTTTCTTCTTTACATTTCTTCTCCCCAGTATTCTCTTTATTTCTCCCTTACCTTCTTTCTATCGTCTGCCTTTCCTCTTTACATTTATTCTTCCCTTTCTCTTGCCTTTTCTCCTCGCTTTGGCCGTCGAACCTCTCGAGCTCTCAAACGTTGCGGAGCACTCAGCGGGTTCATGGCCGCTGAATAATTCGGCAAAATCCGTTTTTTTTTCCTTGCTTTGGCCGTCGAACCTCTCGGACTCCCCAAGCATTTTGGAGCGCTCAGCTGGTTCATGGCTGTCGAATAACTCGGCAAAAGCTGTTTTTTTCTTTCCTTTCTATCTTGCTTTTGCTGTCGGACCTCTCGGCTTCCCGGCCCCTATATTTCGGGGAGGAGCCCTAAGGTTCACAAGCGGCAATAGTTCTTTACTATCTCTCTCTCTCTCTTTAACAATTTCTTCTTTTTTTCTCTTATTCGTTTCGTCTTACTTCCTACAGTGAAGTTGACAACATCCTCCCTTTCCGAATCCCAAAGAAGGAGGCGGGCCCTGAAACGGCTCCGCTATCGCCGCAACAAGCGAGTTCGATGGACGTCAAACCGGCCGTCAGAAGGGACATCCGCGGTTTTGCAATTGAAGGATGAAGCCGTGAATTCTTCGGAGATGGACTTCACAATGATTTCCTCCTTTTCTCCTCCTGGTTTTCCATGCTCGGAGATAGACTTCATAACATATTTCCTCCTCCTCCTCCTTCTCCTTTCCGAATTAACACATACACGCACACACACATACTTACAAATGTAAACGAATATATACATATATATATATATAAATTTAAATATAATGTTCATGTATTTATGAAATACGAAATAAGGTTTGCGTTAACACAATTATAAATCAGTTGTAATATAATTATCAATTAAATGTAGACGTTGTTTACTTTAAAAACTTTTCTTTTATTTGAAACCGTCGCTTGTTTCTTCTCTTGAAGTCGCACTAGGTCCTATCCTGAGTTAAAAAGATTAAATTCTCTGAAAATGGGTCAACGGGCGCACATCTCTAGGTCAAGGTCACAGTATTATCAGAACGTTGATAACGTGCCTTAAGACGATAGCTGTGTGCTCGGCTCGTGAGCTTGCATTCGTGAAAAAAAGAGAGCTTTTGATCCGTCCTTCCATACCTCGTTTATAAAGAATTATCAGGGCTAAACGTAACATATATATATATATATTCTCGGCTTGAATTGTAAAAAATAATCTGTGAATTGATGTATCTTTTATGTACTATACTAAATATAATAAATAATATATTAATATTATATAAAAATATATTTATGTTATATTAAATACAGATGATTGCTATGTCAGTATTTGATTAAAAATTTAATTAAATATTAATTAAATATTAATTTAAAAAATTAAAAATCTATTATATTTATTTTCGTTATTTGTGACTTATACGCGAATTATGTATATTATTATTAAGTAATTATTAAATGCTGAAAGTAATTATCTACATTACAAGGAATAGATATAGAAAATATATAATAATAACATAGATAATTCAAAAATTTTTAAATTAACACTTAATAGTACTATTATTAATACATTTTAATAAATTAATTATTTATATTTAATAATTACCTACTTTAGAAATTACTATTTTACAAATTTTGTGCACAATATGGTAATGATTTTTAATAAAAAGAATCCTTAAATTTGATAAATTAATTTTTATTTTAAATTTCCACATTTAGAATTAGTAATTAGTAATTAACGGTAATGTACTATAAAGTATAAAAATTTATTGAATAATGATAAAATTTGATGTTACATAATTATCAAATATTATTCCGTTTGCGGAAGTTGATGTCCGCACTTCCAATATTTAAAAAAATGTGACTATATAATGGCGAAAATTATTGCACAATTTGAGATATTATTAAGAAGCGTGTAAAGTTAGGAAATAAGTTTTTATCTCGTTTCTAATTAGATATATTTAAGATATCTGCGCGTTACATTAAATACTTAGCAATTAATCGATCACTAAATTTCATAAATGTCAATTTCGAAAAAATCATCATGTTATTTCCATGTTCTTAAACGTAATCATTGTCTTAATAATAGGATCTTCTCTCATATCAGATAAACGTTTGTAAATGCGTAGTGTGCGGAGAGTCAAAATGATATTTTTAGTGGAGAGTTATTTCTCATTGGTTTTTGTAAGATCCATCCAGGATGCCTAGTAAAGTTCGGTCTATTAAAAGTTGAGGATTCTCTTTGCAGGAACGAAATTAATTCCGGATTTTTTTGATGATTCTTGGAAGCAGTGATTTTAAGAACTAACTTAATATCAATTATTAATATTTTTTAAGATCGAGATTACGGAATTATTTAAGTATTCAGAGAGAAGATTTCTTTTTTCTAAGTGTTCTTTCGTTATTAATACTGTATTAATTTGTAATGACACAATAATAGAATGAACATGGATGGATAGCGATTCTTTATAGAGATTTGAATTTGCATAAAGAAAATCATAATTACTTATTTAAAAAAATTTTTTATGGTTATAAAAAATATATTTTGTTTTTAACTTTTGGTTCCTTTTTAGAAACCATTTGCAAGTCCATTTTCAGGAAATTCTACCATATCAGAATATTACATGTTGTTTTGAAATAGGTTATAATATAACTTACTTCAAAGTAGTACTTAATATGTAAAATACATGCGCAAACAATATCTTATTTGTCATTTTATAAAATAAATTCATATCCTTTCCTTAAATATTTTAAAATGCTTGTATGAATATTATTAAATATATAAAAATATATGTAACATTCTAAATAAGTTGAAGTATTAATGGGATAACTTGAAATATTTAAATATTTATATTATTTTAATATTATATTTAAATATTTAACATTTATACAACTTTGTTTAATGTTAGTCCAAATGTTATATAAAAATTATTAAAAAAAATAAAAGATGCAAGAAATGTTATATTTTCAAGCATTTAAATATGAAATTCTTCAAATTTCATTATTATCGGTTTCGTCTTGTTTCGAACAGTTAACATCCAAGACTTTTTCGAACTCACATATGTAATAAGAACATGTATTTTAAAAATATAAAGAATAGTATAAGAAATATAGTATAAAGGAATATATTTAAATACATTTCTTTATATCTATTTTTTTTTATAAAAATTTTTCTATTTATATGCCTTTTAATAAAAGAAAATAATTTTAATAATGGAAGACGTTTATGATAAACTGTCAGGTTATTATCTAGTTATTATATTAAGATTTTTTTTGTGATTTGTAATAAATCTTTTCGAACCAATTTATAATGTCATAATCTAGCTCTTATAAAAATACTTGCATTAGATATATTTTGTCTTCATAAATTTCTTATTTTTATCGATACATTCTTTTTCCGACGTACAGCCAATGAACATAGTTTGTGTGTCGACATGGCTCGGAGAAATTTATTTGTAAATTCATGTCGCGAGATAATGGCGGGTCGAGAGACGAGTCGGCAAGATCGCTAATTTCGCTTCATTGTTTCCTAAGCACGATGCAGCCGATGGAAATTTTGCTTTTTTTCCATGATCTTTTCATTCAATTCTTACTATATCGTTCTTTTTTTAAACTCTTCATTTTCCTTGCTTTCTTCGTTTTACACAAAAGTGGATAGAAACAATTATTGAAACTAAAATTTCAAAATGTCAATCTATTAATATTTGAAATTTATTTATTAAATAGAATGAAGTAGAGAAAAGCAATTTCTTCTGCTTTACAATAACATATAATATTGCAACGCTGGAAAAATTTAAATTTGTTATAATTCCATAAAAGAAAAATCAAGTTTATATTCTTGCGAAGCATTTTAATACAAACATATAGTTAATTACAATTCTCATTGATAAACTAAAAAGAAAAGAAAATATTAGAAAAAAATCTAAAAAAGATCTAAAGGTAAAGGTCCACTCTTGAGATCCCTCGCTCTTTCGGTTGGCCCGTATTTCTCTTTTCCGTTCTATGTAAATTTTTCTTCTCTTCCATGCGCTCTCTTTCACCGTAGGGCACTTTTTCCCTTCTCTCCGAATCTCTCTCTGTACATGTGTCCGGAAGGACGGCACGATGTTACCTACAACGAAGACGACGATGCGATTTGAAATTCAACGATGCCGGACGCGATGCGCGTTGCGCCGCTCGTCCTTCTTGTGTTAGACCGTTGTCCTGTTGCCACAGCTGCGGGTACCAAAGCTATCGCGTGTCCTCGCGAGATGTACTATCCTTCCGGTTGGATTCCGCGAGACTACCGTTGCCACAGACTACAAATGTTACTGCTGTCGTTCGTGTTCGGGGATTTCGTATGCCATCGAACACGCTTCCGAACAATTAAGCACAAGTATATGGATGATACAAATGAGTCGGTCAAATTATGAGCTGATATGATTTAAACTTGAAAATTAACAAATGGAAAAACAAAATATTGGAAATTTATTAACTGATGCAGAAGTGTATTCCCTTTACAATGTGTTTAATAACATGTAAAGTATAATATGTGAAATCATATGAAAATATGATTTCTTATAAATAAATAGGTAAACTTTCTTCCCGAGAAAAATAGTTTTAAAAATTCAAAAATTAAATATTTAATATTTTTCAGGGTTTAAGCGATTACAATGAGAAATGTTGCTAAGAGAAATTACATTCTGGAATGTATTCCACTTATGTAGTATATTTTCTATATAAATTTTACTTCCAGTTTTGAAAATTTTCTATGATATATTTAATTTACTAGACACCACAGATGTACACTACGCACGCGTTATTTATTCTTTTTTTTTAACAAAAGAAGAAGAAATTAATATAATACTATTACACTATAAGAAATTAATACTATTATTGATAATACTATTATTGATTTCTTAAATTATTATACAATACACAAAATTCAAAATGTTCATGATGTCGTTCACGAAACAAGTTCAATCAGAGAATCAATTCGCATTTCACGGGAAAACGACAATAAATTTCTATACATGCGAGTGTTGATTTAAAATCTCCTTTTTATATATGGATATAAAAAAGTGAAAAATATTTTTTGTTCCTTAGCATATTCTTCATTGTTTATAAAAGTCAACTGCGACTTCACGTCAGGGCATCACGTACACGCGGTAAAAACGAATTCCAAGAGCGTGGCGTATAACACTTCTTACACCATTATAATCGATCAGAATAGAACTCTTCTCCCCAACTTTGAGCTTTATTGCATTAGCAATGCAACGCCGATCGGGTGCAACGGCGCAGATGGTCTTTCGCGATATCGTATCCTCCTATCTAACGTCCTTGGCACGAGTTAACGTGCAAACGAGATTAAGGATAACGAGGACGGGAGGAGTAAGAATGGTAGGGAAACGTACGAAGTCGAGAAGATGAAAGCATAGAAGATAGGGAGAAGGAGAGAGAGAGAGAGAGAGAGAAGACTTCGTCGGGCGGTACATCTTCAGCTACATAGTTACTAAAGTTAATGGAAAGAAGTCGAGGCAGCTTCTCGCGCATTAACAATTCGAAAGGTCCTCCTCCCCCTTCTCCTTCCTTTTCATCAAAGTCGCGCGTCGCTCGCCGTAAAATTCCCATTCGAAATGTAGAAAGGCAATCGCGACGGCACACTTTGCTTCCCTCCTCACGGTTTTGCGCCGTTTCGCGTTTCGTTAGCGCCGTAATGGCTGATGAATAATCCCCGGCAAATGAATTAAGAAAAAAGATGTCGCCGAGCGAGCGAGCACGGCCTCCT